ATTCTACCAAATTCTACAAAGACAATCCTGTCCCAAGGGTGTTGTTTCCAGTAAATATTGGCATGGAATCTTAAGATCTTTGAAGGAATGTTGTTCTAACTTAGTAAGCAAGCAGCAAAGAGAAAAGATAATAACGAGGTCTCAAGGATCAAGGAAGAACAGACACTGCTGAAACTGATTTTCAGAGAATGGATAAGAATATACATATTCATATAAATTTCATATTATAAATATATATTAAATGTTCTATATTATATGTATATTAAATTATGTTGTAAAATATAATGGATTTTTTTAAAAAACATGTAAATGTTTAAATTGTACCTGCTGCTTTTAGAGTCAAGTGATTCTTTAGTCACTTTGCTTTTAATTCATCAGTGGTAACTTCTCCAGCTCCTGCATAGATGAGATCATGAATTTTATATATTTGAGTGTCAACCTATGCTCTGAATAAGCTCCCACATTTTTTTCTGAACAAAAATGGTTCAGAGAGAAAAAAAGTTTTAGTACATTTACTTTTATATCAAATTTTGGCTTACTTTGGCATGCAGGTTAGATTTAATATCCACTTTTAGCGTGTTAGTGGCAAAAAAAGAAAATAATATTTAAGATTACACCATATTTATGGAAAAAAATACCAGAGGAAAAATATATTCCAGTGCTAAATCACCTTGTGTCTTTGTGAAACATGTAGGCAAAAAAGCGAGTGTAAAAATTATTCACAGAGTTTGACATTCCACTTGCAAAAAATCAGGTCCTAGTTTTTTGTCTGTTTCTTTGTTTTGTTTTGTTTTCCCAAAACAAATTCAGTGACAATAACAGGAGCAATGTGTCACTGTGACCTTGTACTTTATGATGTTATCTCCCCTGAACATTTTTTTCTATCATTTATTGTATTAGTAGAAAGTCAGTCCATGAAGGCTGTTGTCCATTTTCTAAAATTTAGGAGCTTCATATTCTGTGCTTGTTTTACCTGTTGTTATTAATATGATAATGTCAATTTTTAAAAATTTAAGAAACATGCACTGTCAACTGTACCAGTAGACCCTAACAATGAAATATAGTCATACAAAAGTTAACTAAGGTATAAACATGCAAAAAGAGAAGTCTCCCTGCGATCATAAAATGATGTTATTTTCTGCTCAGCAGTTCATGTTACTGCTGTTCATGCTAATTAATTAAAGGAGCTGTTGCAGTAATGTGCAAACAGGGAATCTGAGAAACTGAGAGGGCTTTTAGGTCTCCAAGTGAAGTTAAGTCAATCTGGGCGCAGGCAATCAAATGTAATGAAATCACTTGTCAGTGCTAAGCTTGCAAAAACTGTGAAGTTTGACTAGGGAGTAAAAGGATTATAATTAGATTTCCAATAGGATAATAACTAAATGGCAGAACGCAGTAAAGAGAAAATATTACTTTGTTAGCTAATGGTACTGCTGTTCGGTTTTAGTTTTTATCAGCGCACTTGTAGTTGTGCTAATTTAATTTGCTTTTATCAGCAAAAATGCACTACGCAAATGGCACTTGAATGTCATTTGCAAAAATCATTGATCTGAAGGTGCACTTAATGATACCCAGTATGTTTATTTTATGTGAAATGGAGATTGGCTGGCAAGACAGTTGATGTGCTGTCTTGCAGGTCCCCAACCAAGTTATAGGAATCTGGATGGGACCATATTAGTGCATATGATCCATGGAATCCTTCACCTCCAGAGATAGTGGACACAGCCATGGGAGTGAATATGTATTCATTGTTTGATCATCTGAAGACGTTCAGGAGGAGTTGCTATGGTAAACTGCTAAAGTATAAGGGATACAGATATCCTTTAATTGGAAAGTGGTCTATGCATGATATCTTGTCTGTCAAACAACATTTAAAGCATAAAATACATGAAATAACGGAGCTGAAGAGGTTTAAAATATACATAAGAATACTAGAGCATGAGCAGTTTGCTTGCACTAAAATCCATGCAGAAATCATCATAAAAGTGGATATGACTTTATTGCTTCTAAGGGTGGCCATGCAACATTTTTCCACGTCCCCTTTAAATTCTTTTAAGGAGATGTCACAGTGGAACTAATTGAATTTCAAAGGAAGAGCAGTAGGTGAATGATAGATTTCTATCCAACAGAGCTATTGGCAATAGGAAGAGAAAAGACTTCACTGATGCTGGAATTGTTTGATGTGATGGAGATGAGTTTTGGAAATGTCATTGTATTGGCATGCATGAATTGACCCTCACAAAACACTGGTAGGAAATAATCTTCCAAGTTAAAAAATGGCTAATTGCAGGAAGTGCAAAAGATTAAAACATTATCAAAATAAGTCACAAAAGAAAAGAACCATAACCCACAAAAGCTAAATTATTAAGAAGAATGAAAAAAATAATGGTTAAGCTTGTATTTTTATGTTTTTTAAGCATTATAAACTTTCTGAGGTTCATAGATACATACACTCATAAAAGTAATCTTTCAGTCCTGAGCAAATAATAGGCAAAATGATTGGAATACTTTAGGTTAATTATTTAACCTGATTGATTTGGTGAACTATATTTAAGTTTAGTTGTCATAATATTTTCAGGCATCTATCCCCCTGGCAACAGAGTAAATAATTTTTGCTCAAAAAGTAACCTGTTTTTCACAATGATCACAATTCCTTGAACTTGTTAAGACAAGTGAACGGATATGATGTTGATGGGTGGGACAGGGGAGGAGAGGGAGGGGGGAGGGAGGAATTGGTAAAGGGTCACGAAAATCAACTACAGTGTATATTGATAAATTAAAATAAAATTTAAAAAGCCAACCTCTTTATGATATTAAATTGTTATTCTACTGTCATATTAACACAAGACATTCACTCTATTTTTCCATAAAGTGATGATAGAAGCTTATTTACAGTCCTTAAATGTTGTGCTAAGAGAGGGGAGAATGTATACTTTTCCATTTTTATCACATTCATCAAGGATATTATTTAACATAATCTAAAAGACAGGCATTTAATAAGAAATTATTAACCCACCATATTTTACTATATATGGACAACATTAGCCAAAAATACTAGTCAACCTGATTTTTAATTTGGAAAAACAAGCACGATAAAAATCAATTACCTTTCAAATAAATCCCATCTCAACCCTTTTAAAGGCATTTCTAATTCCCCAATGTTTAGCCAGCAAAAACTAGTAGAATTATTAGAAGTATGCTAAGTGAAAACAAATATTAAATGTGTCCTTCCCTAAGTACAGGTTAGTATGCAAAAGCCATTCTCTGCAGACTTCACAAATAAATAAATAAATAAATAAATAAATAAATAAATAAATAAATGGAGCCAAATGGAGAATTAATCTACCTTTTGCTTAGATCACCTAATTGACTGCCCATGAATAAGGTATCTGTTGTTTGTTGTATGGAAATGAAGTACATAACTTTAGAACACTTCAAAAGCTGGTATGTATCTCAGAGATGGGAAAATGCTACTACTGTGAACTAAAGGCATCATATAAATTAAATAAACAGCACCCACTGGCGATGTGTTTGGTTTACCCCTCCAGTTAAAAGCTGACCTAACATCCCACTCTAATCAGGGGTATGATCAAGCTTAATGCTCCTTAAAGTCTGTGTCTGTGTTTGTGAGTCACTGATTCATAAGGGATCAAACGTTTCAGGCTATTCATCCCTACCATGGCCCTGGTATCTGATGGCAACCTCAAATACCAAGCCCACAATTAATGGGACTTTCTTCATGAATTTAGCTGTGGTGAATTGAATGGACAAATACTGAATCCCATTAGAATTGACTTTGCTCATATAGACGGAGTCTCTAAGTTGAGGAAAGAAAGCAGGAAAGCAAAAAAGGGTTAAGAAATAGCAAAAACTTCATTAAATGAGCTAAGCGTGCACGCTTTCTCACATAACAGTTAATGCATTAGTTAGATCTACCCAGTTGCAGCAGAATCAGGCATTACCAGAAGATCCATGAGCTCTGACACTCCTGGTTTCGTAAAGATGATTTGCAAAACTACATGAATGGATGTTTCCAAATTTTCTGAAAGTGTCATATAAAATGATGACCCTCAGATGAACCTAAATGTATTTTTTGGTCACATCCAATTTTGTTGCCTTTATGTAGCTGGAGTCAGCACACAGTCGAAAGGCATCGATTAGTTAAACCTCCAGCAAGCAACATATTCATGGTTGTCTTTGTTTTTTCAAAGTTAGGAAATAGTTTTCTCATGGAAGTGTCTTTTTTTTTTATTAGAGTGAGGCATTTTTTCCACAATAAATAAGAAAATAAATGTGACATGCATATAAAGAGCTAGAAAACTGCATTAGGATCACAGGGAAAAATTTCCAGTGGTCAAATTTAATTCTTATTTTTAGATGCTTTTGCATTCCTAAAATTATATTGATTTGTTTCATCTGTTTTCTTACTACTAAATATTTTTAAATATTTTAAAGGATCTAAGCGTTTTGGGGAACCCTGTAAATAATGAATTACAAGTTGTGCTCTTAATTCCATGTTTGGGTGGTTTCTAAAATTAGCATGGAAATTTAAAGATTGATTAAAAATGTTGTCTACAACACCTTTAAAATACAGATAGGTTGCTATTACTGTATCGGTGGCCTTTATAAACAGTAATGAAGTTAAACAAAATGCATGGCATTATATACTTCTGAAAGGTAAATTACATTCACATTTATGCATTTTTAGAATACACATAACATATAAATGTATTGCCTTTTAACAGCTAAACATACAAGAAATTTGCTCACGCTGTGATTAGTCCCTAAGTATCTGTACTATTATTCGGTTTTCAAAGACATATTAAGTATTTATGTTTTCTTATAAAAACATGGAAAAGTGCTTTCTCTGTCATAAAGAAGAGTTAAACTTATTTACTTTACTTTTATGAAGAGTATCAACATAGGTGTTCATCCCCACCCCACCTCTAGGGTCCCATACTAAGCAGTTGTGGAAAGAACTATGCTGTTGTTTACTATACCTTGCATAGCAGCACTATCATGAGGAGTCCCATTGTTTTCTGTTTCAATATCTGGCATTCCAGTATCTGAAAGAAGTGACATTCGAGATTAAGGTACAATTCTGTGTTTCCTGATTACACTTAAAGGGAAAACTCCAGTAAGCCAGTACTTTGGTCCTATAGATAACACAAGATCTTTTGTATGTTTGCTTTTTTTTAATGGTAGGAGGGAGGATTATAAATGATAGCTGAACTTTACAATTGGGCATATATTTCTAGGTATATAGTAAATACTTCTTTATTCATTTCATTCCCTAAAGAGAAATCTCTGTCCATAAAAATCCCCTAAGACTGTCAGCTTAGCCTGCCCTGACTGAGGAACAAGAAAAAGATTAAAGACACAATTGCATAAGTGGAAATGTCCCATCTTTATGGTGTATTTTCCACTTGTAAGAAGTGATATATGATGACATTATCTCTATGCTAAGTGCAAATGAAGACCAAAATACACATTATGGTTTGTGGTCTATAGTACTGGCTCTAGGGGCAAATATTTTACTATTGTGCTCTTTAGATGAGTTCCAAAGGCTAATAATTTTGATGTAAAAACGTTTTCTCTGTGTGTGTGTGTGTGTGTGTGTCTGTGTGTGTGTGTGTGTGTGTGTGTTTACTTCAAGTTGGCTCTAAATGAGATGAAACAATGTTATGGGGTTTCAAAATTAAAAATGGAATCAGAAAAGTTAGGAATTAAGAGATTCTGTGGTGTAAGCATCTCTTCCCACAGGATCTCCAGGGATTTACTTAGGATACTCTTTTTCAACCAGGCATTCCTTAAACATCTCAACACAAATGCAATCTGCATAAAAGGAACCAGCATCCTATAGTTGATCAAAGTAGAGTTCACCAAACATTGGCATATTCTAACATGAATAAAGCACTTACATTTTAGGTGCAGGAAGGTTATCAGAGCTCCTACTTCTATGCAAAAATCAGTGGGATTTCCTGTTACTTCTAGGCTATTTGTATCTACCACAATAGAGATTACTTTGGTTTAATTCATGAACTAAAATACTTGGTCTCAATTGATTTTTTAATTACTCCTAGACAAAGTCCATCTTTCTTCTTTTTTTTTTTTTTTCTTCTCTTTTCTTTCTTTTAAAATTGGGTTTTGCTTTGTTTACCTTGAGTGTGAAAATCCAAATCAGACATTACCTTTCAACATCCTCAGGCCACTGTCACTACTGGCTTGCTTAAGTGCCTGCTCCACTTGCTCCCGGCGCTTTGATTCAAATTCCAAGGCGTCCTGCAGTTTTCTCTTGGCTTTTTTCTCTTTTTTCAGGCGCTTTTGCATGGTAGCTGAAATGTGAAGAGGTAATTTGCAAAGGCCTGGTCAATGCAATAGGGTTACCAGTTTTTATTAATTATAAGCCATAGATGTAGGTATACAGAGAGGCATATAAATGTATCAGTTGACACTTGATTAGCTTCTTTTGGTCCCAATTCTCATTAGGCTCATCTAAAGAGTGCTTTGTTTACTGTAGTTCAATCACACAACCAGCTTCTTTTTATTTTCTCATTTCCAGTGTGTATTCTCTCTAATATACATGCATTTGTATGGTGGTGGCACTGGGGGTTGAGAATTGTTTTCTATTTTGACTCACTACATGCATTTAATGATAGCATTAAATAATTTATGCCTTTATTAAGAAATATATTATTATTATTAATCAAGGTATTGCTATTTATATTTCAAAAGGCAAAAAAAAAACATTCAAAATATCTAATGTTTTGCAAAACATAATCTTTCAAACCGAAACTGGCAAGTGTTTCTCTGAAATGTTACCAGTTGTAAAAGCAAATATCTATCAATCTGCTTAAATAATGCAGAAATCAGTTTCTCTCTCTGTCTCTGTCTCTCTCTCTCTCTCTCTTTCTAGATGTGTGTGTATACATATATATGCATACATTTTAAAGAGAATAAATTTCAACAATGATTATACAAGCAAGCTATACAAACACAACCACAACGATGTTTCTTTACTATGCGGAAAAGGTAAGGAAAAGCTAAAGAATAGCTACACTTCAACTCTCAGGGCTTCATGTCTCAACTAGAAACTTTAACTGCCCTGGTGCGCAATTGCTTCTAAACCCTGAAATCTTGAAATCTGTGATAGTTTTGCAAATAGTATTATTGGGCTCCAGCAGTATATTGGTTCATAGCAGAGTTCTAAGCAGACTGACCTTCACATTTTTCCTAAATCAGTTTTTGAAAATTAAGATATTGATGTTGTGGCAATAAAAAAACACTCAAGGAACATTAAGCAAAATAATAAATCATGTGACATTTAAAAAATGTTAAATACATGCATATATAATTAAAATATTTCTACTGAACTGAATATGATGCTAATTTGAGTTTCAAGTGTATTCATTTCACAGTTCAATGTCTTTTCATATAAATGACCTTGAGCAACTTAAAGAGAGTCAATTGCCCAGGTGAATTTCTGTTCACTTAAGACAAAAATTCAGAGGTCTATGGTAATAACAAAATGGAATTCTTTGTGCAAAGATACCGAGAATGTGTGGTTTTTGTTATTTTTGATGAAAGACTGTTGAATAAGGTTTAATATAAAAGTATTTTACTATCATAATTGTACTTATCATTCAAATAAAGCAATAAACAAATTATTTAAATCAGAAATCTAAATTTATTCAAATTAGTGCATAACTTAATGTCCTTGATAAAACAAAATTTTGCTTTCCACTCTTTAACTCTTTCCTTATTTTGGGCTTTGCGACCCTTCCATCAAAGGGTAAGGAGGGAAAGGAAAGAAGCTGAAATTCACAAAAATCACTTTTGCTGCTGTTTAGGATTTTATGGTAAATGTGGGGAAGATGTGGAAATTATTGACTAAAATGAGGTTATAAATTTCTCTGATTTTGATATGAGCTAGCCTCATTTATTCATTACTGTGGGTAATCTAATGGCTTCCCACAATTGGAAAGTTAGTTCTATTTTTGAACAATCAATATTTCTCCATTCTCTCCCCTTTGTCTCCATGTCTACTTCCACTACCCTAATTCAGTCCTTATCACCACTGCCCGGTGATCTCATTTTGCATAGATTTTTTGTTTTCAGTCTTACACCAACCCCCCCTCTAATCTATTCCTAACACCAGACTGATCTATCCAGTTAAAATCAGGCTCTCATCCCTCGGCATATCTTTTAATATCTCCTATCACCTATAGGATAAAGTCCAAGCTAACCTTTTACATGGTTAAAAACATCCTTCATAATTTAGCTTTTATTCCCAACTTTCTGCATCATCTCCCCCCATTCACTTCATAAAACCCAAAGTCATTGTAATAACAAACCATATACAGTCGCCCATGTATGAAGTTTCTTGTCCTTATGCCTATGCTGATACCTCTGTCTAGAATGCCCAAATCACTCAGGTACCTGCATTCCCTTTTCCAGCCTATTGATTCTTTAAGACACAGATTCAGGTCAGGAAGTCTTCCTTAAGCACCTCACCACCATCAGCAAGCTAAGCTAACTACCCCCTTTCTATATAATCATATAGACTGTGCATGATTGTCACTTTGTTGTGAAATTAACTGGTTTAGCCCTCTAAAATGTAAATCCCTCAAGGACAGGGGCTGAGTTTTATTCATTTTATATTCCCGAATCTAGCACTGTGCCTGGCAATGAGTAAGCATTTCACATATAAGGAATTGTTACATTATTTATATCCAGATGTATTTCATGAAATTGGGAGAGAACTATGAATACTCATGTTTCCAAATCTGCCACTGGTCCAAAGTGCAGATTTAGTGCATTATTTTTTAGTATACTAAGAGAAATAGTATACATTTCTTACCTTGTAGCTTACACACAGTATTTGATTCTTAGCTTGTCATCTGTTCTCAGCAATTCCAAACTACCACTGAGAATATTTCTATTACTATTGAAAATATCTCCAACACAGTATTCACTCTGTAATTGAATTTATTAAACTTACTTCTGCTCTGCAGCTCAACTGTAAGTTGTCTTTCAAGGTTTTCTCTAATTTCTCTCTCTCTATAGAGCTCTATTCGCAGTTCCTTCTTTTCTTGTTGAATCTGCTTCTCCTGGATGCGAGCATTATCCAAAGCCACTTTCAGTAGACCCTGTCAAAGTACAGCAAATGACATGCAGTTCATCTTATCTGTTTTAATTTCCCAAATATGAAATAATTTATGTAGGTGCTAATGTCTTGTATTACATTTATTTTGTTTATAGAAATATTGTTGACCTGAATGTTGGTCAACAGAGTCTCCACGGAGGATAGACTATCAGCAAAAATGAATGGTCCTGGGAATCCAGGGGGCAATGCCTGCCCCTGAGTCAATTGGATCTTGTCCAAGGGTGACTTCATCATTGGAATTTGAACTGGTACCTCTTCTGCAAAAACAAAATTAATACAAGAATGTTCACAAATTAACTGCTCAAAAGTTTCACTAAGTCATCTCTAATAGGCCTGTAAAAAGATTTTGTTTCTAAAACTAAATGATGGACACATAATTAAAAGTCATAACTATTCTCCAGCTACCTCTAATTTCTCTTAATAAATGTTTAAGAACCCATGAAACTGAAACAACATTTACTGTTAAAGAGTCACAAAATCTAAAGAAACAAATTTAAGATACATACACTCGACATATATGTTTATGAATATCTATAAATTGCATAATCAGATCACTTCCTGGAAAAGCATATGCTACCTTTTATTTTTTTTTCTCTGCAAATCTATCATCCATCTATTTTCATTATTTTTAACAGCTTTATTGAGGTATAATTTACATACAATAAAATTCACCTATTTTAAGTGTACACTTATTTTTTGGTAAATTTACAGATTTGTCTAACCATCACCACAAATTTATTTTAGAATATCTCAATTCCCCCCCGCCAAGACTCCTTATGCTCATTTACAGTTAATCTCCTTTCCCATCCCAGCCCCTGGCAACCACGAATCTACTTTCTGTCTCTAAAGGTTTTCCTTTTCTGGATATTTCATATAAACAGAATCATACAATGCGTGTAGTCTTTTGTGTCTGGCTTCTTCCACTTAGCATAATGTTTTTGAGGTTTATACATGCAATGGCATATATCAGTAGTTTCTTTCTTTTTACTGCTGAATAGTATTCCATTGCATGAATATACCACCTTTTGATTAAACATTACCTAGCTGATGGGCATTTAGATTGCTTCCAGTGCTACCTTTTATTTTGAGGAATATTTCTTATGAAAAAAAATCACCTGTGACATAAAAACACAATCTATTTTGTATGTATTTTCCCCCTTTATTTTTACATTATGATCTCTCACATTCACATTACTTTAATGAGATTCTCTCTTAGTGTCAGATAGAGACACCAATACAATTTTTGTCTATTAAGATGTTTCAGATTTGTTTTGGACAGATACATCTAATTAAAAAGGGAATCTCCTCTTACTTTGAGAAGCCTAACTATTTGGCTATCCACTTGAATTCTACCTGACAATATTTTATGTGAAATGTATGAACTAGATAGCAAAGTTTCCTCTGCAACTAGGAAAGGGGGCATTTTTTGACATACGTGAAAAGAAACTGCTACAGAGAGGTAATCTTGAGATGTAACCGAACAAGCTCAGTTACTCTCAATTGTGGTGAATCATAGTACTTCAAACAGTTATTCTATTCACCAACAGTCTTTCAATTTCAGTAACAGGGCACAAGAAAAATTTGAAAAACATGCATCTCTAGCGAGAAAAATTTTCAGAGACTCCATATATTCTTATGCGACTCATGCAGGAAAAAGACTAGGCTTGAATCTAAACCTTACCAATTTTCACGTAGTTTGGAAACAAAAGAACCCCCCAAAATCTAGCTATTGGCTCTAGTTCCTGTAGGGATGCAAATACGAATTTGTCATATAGTTAGACTTCATTTTTCAATTGCAAGCAGCAATATACACGTAGTGTGCATAGTCTTGAACCCAATTGATTTCACAGTCATCATGGTTTGTTGTGGGATTTCTTTTGTGGGAAGTCGTGGCATACAGTTGCGGGAAACTTCAGTGAGATTACTTAATGCAATAGCATTATCTCTGAAAAAAAATGCTCTTAACATAGATCACTTTTACATTTTCTATTTTCCCAAAACAAACAGGGATGAAACAAGCTAAATGATTATTTTAGACAATCAACAGTTTCACATTATTTGAATCCAAATGTTAAAAAGAGTATTTGTTTATTGGTCTTTAAAATTTCAATAAAATGCATAAAACATCCCATTAATTTTCTTTGGCACAGGAAGCTATGATGAATATCTTCCTAGGAATTATTTTTTAGTAAAATTTTAAAAAATAGTATTTTAATCATAGGTGCATGATATATGTGTTTTCTACAACTTTGTTGTAGTTTTATTTCCATAATATTGTTATAATAATTTGAATATTTAAAATTGACTCTAACCTCTTGTAGAACATTTCTCTCTGTTTCTTTAAGTTAGTGATAGGTCTGGAAGTGAAGTATTCCAGAGGGAATAGCACATTATCACAAATTCTGTGACCTTATTCAACTATATGGTTTCATTTGAAATATCTCATAAAAAAGCTGACTCCTAAAACATGTCTTAGCTAGAAGCTCTTAGGTTTCTAAAGTATATTTCTCAATAACTAAGCAATGTTATGCTTTATTTGTATTGTTTGGTGTCTGTATGTAAACATCTAATATTCTGTCTTCTCCACATTAAGTGGATGGAATGACTTCATAATGATCCATCAACATTAATAGTAGCTGGAGATGTTCTACACCTTTATATTGATGTTTTTCAATCTTAAAGTATAAATTTATGTAGCCTGAAAGATCTATTTTTACAAAATGAACTGCTATGGAGTTAGAATATTGACTTCCTGCTCATTCAAAGACAATATAATATTTCCCTGAATAAATATTTTGTATCAGAAACAGATTTCTTAAAATTAATGGATTCCTTATTATGTATCACTCTACACACACATGCAACCTCAGTGGTGAGAATATGAGGGGCATTTTACAAACAAGATACCTGAAAGAAAGCAATACATTCAGTATGCATAAAATAAAATTATAAATACGTTAAAATCCCCGCTAGAAGTCTTCTATTTGGAGATGAAAGAAATGCCATTAAATTGGATGAAAGGAAAATTACTATTGACTATGAAGACAGGTTGCATGGTCTATGGTTTGTAATGTTGCCGTACAGTAGATTGAAGTTTCAAAATAGTATTACTCTTCTTTAAAGAGATAGACACAGCTGAATTAGGTGTTGCTTGTTGCAGTGAGGATCAAATGCAAAAAGAATCATATTTCACCAGACCTAGTCAACACCAGGAAAATAAATAGAAATATAAGAGGTATGCAGGCAATGATTCATTTTGATAATCTGGCCCAAGAGAGACACATAGAGACAGCACACAGATCTAAGCTTCTATCAAAAGACAAATAGGACACAGAGGGTGGGAACTGGGATGACAGTGTAGCAGAGGTCACATCGATTTTCAGCAGCAGTTTTCACACAGATGAGATAACCCTGGACTCTATTTGGCCCATTGTTCATATCCTACCTGTCCTACAAGCAATAAATTTCCTAGTCCTAGAAAAAGGGCAGTAAAGAAGAAGGATTCTACTTATGACTTCTTATGATTAAGTTTCTGTGCTAACCAAACATGCTTTTCAGACCAAGGTCACATTGCATGTTAAGGTCCATAATAGCCCAAAACTAGTAGAAGTGTAATTTTAGTGTATATGAGTGGAAACTGTCAAACTATTCATCAGGGTTTTTTTTTTTTTCTGATTTAAATCGCATGGCACAAAAATAAATGATAACTGCATTAGAAATCGATTTCAATCTTGTAATAGGTCTTCACATCTGAATGGCATCTACATTTTGCTCAGCATTTGAATAAATGCACTGTTACATGGGAATTTATTAGGCAGGCTTGAGAAATCCTAATTGGCAATGAAATTAAAAATGGGCAAGTACTAGAAACATAGATTGTCAGTTAAATGAGAGCATCTCCTTTTAAACCTGGGAGAAAGAGTTTGTTTCAGTATTCCATTTTGATTTAAAAGTCTGGTGCTCAAAGTGTACATGTTAAAACTTTTATTAGCACATATTACACAATGGTATAATCTAAAAAATATAGGACAATTGCTATCTAGTCAAGGACATGAACAACCTCCCCATTTATTTAAGCAAAGTGGAGACCGCTTTTATTGAGCCTGTTTATTAAACCTGCCATACTTTGTAACAGCACTTAGAGGAATAAGCTCTTTATTTTAATTTCTTGCTTAGGAGCCAGATGAATAGATGTAAAAGTTGACAAGAATTTTATTTGTAGAAAAAGATAAATATAAGGTAAATGCTCCAAATGGAAAAGTTCCCCTGAAAATTAACATCAAGGCTGCTAGAGACTTTCTATATGACCCCTAGTGCTTATTCTCTCACTTTTTCATGGAGTTAAGTGTTTCCTTTTTTCTCTGGGCTTTGAGGATCGTGATACAGGAATAGAAACCGAACACAGCTGACTCACCCAGCAGTGGAAAAATGCAGCTACCTACCAGGTCATCAGTTTTATTCTTTAACAAGTAAATTATATTCCATTATTTGATTTGAGAGCTTTCCCCTAAATACAGCTGGCCCAGGGGATTCTCCTTTGTCGATGTCATTAGTATTACATTCAGCACAAGCAAGACACCTGCTTCCCTCCTCCAAACTGAGGAACAATAACAAGATGACCAACTGCTGTGTAATGATGTGACCTGCACGAACAAAGGAAGTATCCATAGTCTCAGTTGAACAATGACTCCTCAACTGTTGCCATCATCAAATGTGAAAAGGAAAAACTTGATCCCAAATTGTTACATTTCCTTAGGAAAATGAAATATAAACAATGCAGACAAATGGAAACAGAAAGCTAGTAGCAAAGGAACGAAGGGCCCCAGTCTGAGAAAGTGAGGTAGAATATTGCTAAAACTAATTATATGTCTCTGTTTTGCTCTGAATCCTTAGATTAGTAATTTGACATAGTAGTCTCTCATATAAATTATGAATAAGAATTAAATTATCTTTTAGATAAAATATTATGCCCAAAACAAATATTATGTCCAGTAAAGGGCTTGAAAGAAGTGTAAGGAAAATGGTCAGGGCCCCTCGGATGTTCAGAATCTTGCCAAGCATTTGAAGTAAAGATGCACGTGCACCCAGTTGTTCATTGGCTATTGACTAATGTAATTGTGCATGTGCATCCAGCTGTCCTGGGTTATGGACTTAAGTATAAAGGACAAGAAGCTTTGATCCACAGGGACTGCCACCCCTGAGATTTCCCTCCGGGGGGGGGGGGTTACCATGGGGGGCTGCTACTGCTGCTGCAGGC